TGCTGTGTACTTGGCATCTTGCCTCTATTTTCTTCATTTCAAGAATACAGAGAAATAAATTTCTCAGATTTCTATGCAATTAGAATGTAATTGCATATTGTGATTTTGGCCAGTTGTATGTAGTGAGAAATAATGTGAATATCTCAGAACTCACCTTTTCTTTGGTGGCATTAATTTATAGGTCGCATGTTACAGATTCTGTGTCAAAAGATGAAAATATTCTGTATCTGTGCATAGTACAACAGTTGTATTAGTAATCTTGAGTGTAAATTAATGGGCTTTGGTGGGTGGTGTTCACTCTCTGTCCCCTTGAAGACACATAACTCTTGGGTCTTCCTTTTCTTCATGTAATTTATATATTCCACCATAACTCCTTACTAAGGTTTTTAATCCCTTCCTTCCTTGTCATTCTCGGTAATTTAGGCATTTTAATTTCGATCAGAATTTATCCAGGCTTCTGGTAATCATTAATTTTCACTATATCTTTCAGTTTTAGTCAAAGTATTAAATTCCATTTACTTGGAGCATTTCCCCAAATAATAAACTCTCCCTTATCCTGTCTTAACTTATAGTTCACTGGTCACTCAAAATCTAGCCCCATAAATAATCTTTTACTTCTGCCACTATATTCTGACTAAACTTTGCAGTTGCTTTGCTTTCTAATCAGGCGCAGAATGCACTAGGTGAAACTGCATGGAAACATGTGCACACTAGGGAGGAATGTTGGGCAACCTTAAAAGGGACTGTGCCAGAAGGCTTTGAGGGGTCAGAGGAGTATAAGTGCCAGAGATTTGGGGACATCCTTCTGGACATCTAGTCCCAAATAACATATTCTAGATCTCCCCATGCCAGACCCTGACCTTAGCTTAACAAGTCTGTCTCTATCATTCAGTCATTTTTGCCATTGTCATCTATTAACTTCTCACTTTCTTTAGTTTTTTTTTTTTTTCTTCTCTGCAACAGCAGGAAACCATGGTCTCCTTATAAAGATTACTGTTACAGATTCCTATTTAGTTTTGATTGGCTATGACAAGTAGTAATAGCTAGTCAATTATGGTGTCTGTAAATATTTTGTTCAGCTGTACAACTCAAATTCCTGAATCATATCCACTAGAGTATTCCATTTACAGAAACATTTTTCTAACTCACCACTGGTGGAATTTTGTAGCAATTGAGGTACTTTTATTCAGGGGTTATTGGTATATCACATACTACCTGGGATTGTAAGGTTTAAATTGAATGATCAATTCCCCAAATCCTGGAAGTCACCTAAATCAATATGCAGTAAGTACATTTTTATCTAATACTCAAAAGATTAGGTCCAACTATTTCAATTGATCTTGTTTTCAAACAGGTTTTGTTTTGGGCAATGTGGAAAAACCATGGGATTAATTTTCTTTCTGTAAAGTTACTTGAAATGTACAGTCTTCCCTCTCGCCACTACTACTGACCTTCGAGCTAATTAATCAACCAACCAACAAACCCATAAAGAAGTGGCTATAAATAAAAAGAACTGGGAAGAAAGTAGAAGGTGAATATTAATGTTAGAATCAGGAAAGGTTAGGATTGGGAAAGAAGGTTAAAAAAATGTGTCTACATATAACTAAGATAAAACATGATATGTTACAACTTTTGACAGATAAGGTAGAAAAGGTGAAGTAGGAAGTCCCCCAAATATTTTACCCTAAATCTTGGTCAAGTATGACACCTAGAGGCCATAAAAATAGAATTCCTTTGGGTCATTTTGTGTGTTTATTTTAAGATGTATTTATGTATAGAAAATTTATTTAAAGATTTTATTTCAAAATGTACTTAAGTACTTTCCTATGTAGCACTCTATCAAGGAGTAACTACTATATATTTCATCGAATATTGTTTTATTGTTGCCTTTATTTTTTTTACTCTGATAGTAAAAGTGGTTCCCTTTTTGTCCAGTAACTGAATCTTTGAAGACTGTTTTTAAATGATGGTACCAGTCACTAAAAGTCTTTATCTGTATTACTTAAGGGTCATCAAGTACATTCATATTCTTATGCTCTGATTAAAAAAAAAAGAAAGAAAATGTATAGAATGTACATATCCTCACTTTCTAGAGTTTAGAGTTGATAGAAAAATAATGAAAAAATACTGATGGACACTATGTGAGCGGTGATAGGTTAAGAATTGTCTCATTTTTTAGTATTAAAAGATATGCTTTGCGTTTTTCATCTGTTTGGAAAACTTTTATAACCCTGGCTCATTAATACTTGAACAGTTTTTCATGAAAAATGATAAACGATTTACTTCATGGCAGGCTGTACAGATGGTCAATTTAATCTGCATCCTTGAGACGTCTCGTGACTAAATTTTGACATCATGTCATTAAACATTTGTGTATTATTTATATCATATTCTAGAAAACAAAGATTGCTATATTTTGCTATATCTTACCATCTATCAGTTTTATTGATAGAATTTATCCTACTGGACACTAAAGCTTTCACAAAGAGACATGTATCTGAATATATATAACTTCTATTTCCTCAGAGACTAATATATTTTTGTTCTCAAGTGCAATAATGACATTGTGATAGAACAGATATTTGGCAGTGGTGGCGACAAATGTTTATATGACTTAGTTTCTGTAACCTTGTCCAGAGATGTTTTTCTACTAAAGTGGGGTGTGTGTGTGTGTGTGTGTGTGTGTGTGTGTGTAAGAGAGAGAGAAAGGTGAGAGAGAGAGAAAGAGACCACTATGCCTTGCATAAATTGAAATTAAAAGAAAGAAACCTATTGTTGGGTATTTTCCAATACAACTATAAACCATTCATCTTAGCTGAGTCTTTCAAATGGCAGCAAATTTTGAAGACTCAATCCCTTTTTCTAATATATAACGTATAATGGTCAAAGTTATAAAATGTTTAAACCCTTGACTAGTTGGACTAGTTGAAATTTTTTGTACATCATGGATAAACAAAAATAGTACAACTTAAAATTTTCTGTTGACATTAAGCTATTAAAGATAATCTAAAAAAAAAGATAACAATCTGATGGCTTTTCAAAGGACAAAAGGGAGTATTTTACACATTCAGTTATACTAACCTGACTCCCTTGATTCTGTTTTATTGTATATTTAATGTCTATTTGATGAATTGATTGGGTACTTTCAAGAATGTTCAAAATGGCTTGATATTAATGGAGTACTAGCAGCTGGAAATCCTGTTTGTACCAGAGTTAGAGGACATCAGGTTTGAGTGTGCTAACAGTAGCTAAAATATATAAACAGACTGGGTAAAAAATGTATAGTTTATAGAGTAGTATCAATGAGTTTTCCCTAGGAGGGTAGAACCAAAGAAACTATAGCAGGTCCTTTTTATTATTTATTTATTTATTTATTTATTTATTTGAGGTGACTATTGAAACAAGTGCTCCTTCAGGGATCCATACATTAGTTAGGATCAGGCTTCCTTTGTATTCTTTATCAGCCTATAATCTTTTGATTGTTGCCTGTTTTTCTCCAGTGAAGAAATAGTAATCCACACTAGCTTATCTGTCCTAATCACAGCCTCACAGAGCTAGGGCTCTCTGAGCTTTTAATTCCCTCTTAGAGGCCTAACAGAGTGGAAAGTAAACAAAGACCGAATTTGCAACCTTCAACATTGCTAATTTCCTCTGATGTCAGAATACTTAAACAGGCAGGACCTGGGAATTATTTGATCAAACCTGCTTTTAATCTAATGCATGCAGAAGGGCTGTGTCTGGAATGATCTGCAAAATGACAGGCATCCCAGGAGAGCTTTATGGAAGGTTTCCTTTTTCAGAAACAGTGGTTTCCTCATTTTAAACTCTTGGATTGACTATGTTGATGGAGTAAATCCATAGCATCATTTTCATGTTTTTCAAATTTTGTTTTACTTGGCAAACTATTGCTGTCCGGATATGAATAGTTTTCTTTGGCTTTCTTTCTTGTGAGTTTTTAACTGGCTAAATACCTTTATATTGTTTTAACTTTACCAGGAAATGAATTAATAAAAGGTTATAACTGGGAGAAAGAGAGAAAGGGCAAATTATTATCAGACTTTACACACATTCCTTTATTACTACTAGTTTAAGAAAGTGACACCACAAAGAACAAAACCCAAGCACACTATGTTCTTTATTTAGATTGTAAAGGGCATTTTTCTATATGAAGAGTTAAGAGAAATTCATGTCAGGAATTTTTCAGCAAAGAATTTATCGACTTAGAAAAAATCCAAATAATGGAAATTTGATTTGCCAGTTAATTTTACTCATACCTCATAAGATACATATTCTTGCCAGGGACAAGCAAATACTAGCATAACAGTTTATTTCTTTAATATTTGAATTATAATTTAAGATTTGTTTTGAATTTTATATATCATTTAGTACCTATGAAATACTAATTCAGTTTTAAAGGCACTTAAAAGATAAGGTACTTTAATTAGTCACGGTAGATCAACATTGTACATGCTTTAGAGAATAGAATGCTTTAAGCTAAAATTTTTGCGTTTAAGTGAAATTTGAAAGCAAATAAACATCTCTATTCTTTTACCGTGATTTTCACATCTGATCGTAAATACTGCTTTCAACAAAGTAAATCAGAAAAAAAAAAGCTGCATAAAAATAAATAACAAACACTGATGCTTTGTGTAAATACACACTCAGAAACAACATGCCACACTGGATCCAGCATTTGACTCCTTAGGTGAAGATGAATTTCAATGCCTGTTATTTGTCATGCTGAAGCCTGTCGGGTGATGATTCTTTTTATTGGTGTATCCTTCCAAACATATTTCATCACACCACACCATGTGCACGGGAGTTCTTTGGGCGGGTATGTTGTATCTGTGTGTCCCCTGTCTGCTTTGCTTGCTTTCTTCCTTTTTCGCCCTCATGCTCTGGCTCCCCCTGCCTCTAGCCTCCTCTAGCTCATTTGGGCTCAGCCCCCCCTCCTCTCTCCAGCTGGTGGCAGGGGCTGCGCTGCCTCCCAGACCTTGCGGACCTGCTCAGTCAGCTGGGGCCCCCTGTGGACGGCTGCCTACCTCGCTGCTAGGACCTGCCACACTGCTCGGAATGGCAGCGGCAGCAGCATCCCCGCCAGCGGTGGTTGAGGCCACCACTGACGCTATTGTTCCCTGATATTAGACTGCTTTCCCTACTTTGCATCTGAAAGAAACAATAGCAGAGGGGAGCTTTGCTTTTTGTACTCTTTGGGAAGACATTCTGAGGACGAAGAAAAACTCCCTGCCTACCTCCCTGGGATCTGGACCCTGGAGCGGCTCCCGGCAGCATGGGGCTGCGAGCGAGGCGCTCTACATCCGGGAGCCAGGGCACCGCGGGCCAGCACCCGAGCGTCTTGCAGCAGCTGCTGCTGCCCCCACTGCTGCTGCTGTGCCTGGGTGCCTGCGGGGCTGCAGCGCAGGGCGAGGTAGAGGCGCCCACCCTCTATCTGTGGAAGACTGGTAAGTGGGACGGAGTTCCCTCTTTCCCCATCTTCACAATCTGAGTCCACATTAAGAAACTGCTAGCTTTAGGAGGGCCCCTGGTGCTGTCTGATGGTCCGGAGGTGCTGGGTTCTTAAAGTAAAAAGTATGACTACTAGGAAGCAAATTAGGTCATGCCCGTTGCTATTAGGAAAGAAAAGCAAAACTAAGAGGCATTAGTCACTGATGATATTTCTCTCTCAGCTCTGTTGTTAACAGGGACATCCAGGGCTACACTTTATCATCAAGTGCAATATTTTAACCTCTGGTTCTCTTTCTATTGAGTTTCTTAAATACATGTCTAACAAAGTACAAACAAACAATTTAGTTCTAGTCTTCTGTTTTGAGGCAAACGACTTGCTCAGTGCCATGATATATATGGATGGGTATAGAGTTTAATTTCTTAAGTATAGCTTTGTGATATGTGGGACACGTGGAAATGAGCCAAGTGAGGGGAGTTTTAACATTTAAAGGCTAATGAACTCCAGTGAGCTCACTGAGGAGACAGTGTAAAGCCCAGTTATTAATGAGTGAATTCTGGGATTTTTAATGCACATTTGTTAGGATGCTTGCTTTTAAACTTTTTGTGCCTTGAGAAATCTTTTGTTTTCAACCACCAACAAAAGCAGCAACTAGTCCCTTGGTACCTCTGGGCAAAGTGCTGACTAGATGTCCTGATGGGGCAGTGACAGGCAGGAAAACAATACCTAGTGAGGAATTACTACCCCCTCTTTTCAGACACTTGCTTTCTTTCTCCTCTGAAGGACACTTAGAGTTCTTCAGCAGAACTGAAACTTAACATTTTTATCAGAATAAAGTGGGAAATAATTAATCTTGTGTCTTACAGCTAGGGATAAATTAAGAGTTTCCTCGACAATAACTAAACATTAAGAGGATGCAGACAGAGGAAAAGTGTGGGATTTGTTATGGAATTGCAAACAAGTTGTAGATTGAGTCCAGCCTTTGCTTCAGCTGTTGGTAGCTCACGGCTGTAGGGACTCATCATTCTACTGTGCAATTACACTGCTGTCCTGAATTTTTAAAGAAGTCACATCTATCTAATAACTTAATGATGAGATTGGACAGACATGTACTTAAATAGGAAGGTCATGATTTGCTGTCACTTTGTATAAAATAACATTCACAGAGGCACATTTAGGAAACTCATTTGGATATTTTTGTTTCCTGTTATTTAATACTGGCACTTTAAAGAGCAGTAGATTAGTGTTGCTGATGAAATTGAATTAATTTCAAACAAAGAGTTGGTGAGCTTATCTAACTTAACTAAAGTGATGGCTTTACTCTGCAAGATATCAGTCATCTAACCAAAAAACATTAGTAAAGCTATAATTTGCCATTAAATGGTTTCATTTAGATATTTGATAAAAGCTTTTCAGGTAGGTAAGTGTTAGACAAAATAGTGCCTGCCTGGTTGAACTTTGTACTATTAAAGTCACAAGAACTGAGTGATAATTCAGATCGAAGAGTCCAGGCAACATTCAGTGTGCAGCATCTGACATGCCAATAGATGTCAACATAAATGTCATGGTGGGAACACTAGCCGATAAACAGTTTAAAATAGTGGCATGCTATCATGAGCAGGGATGTGGAAACCTGGGTTCCAGTGCCGGTTCCAGCTCTTGCTAGCTATAGGAACACTGGCAATTCACTTTACTTTTGACACCTAGTTTTCTTAACAGCATATGTATATGATGATATCTTCTTTTGATTGTCCCTTTTGTTGTACAGATCAACTTATTGAGTTATGAGAAAGTAATCTATAGACTTTAAAATTATATACAGTTACAGGTACAAGCCAGTGTTATGAGGATCATGATCCTTGGTTTAGTGGGGTGAATGATGAATGAATTGGATAGTAATATAATGTCCGCCCTTTTAAGATGAGACTTTACCATTCTAATTGGTTGTAGTTGGAGTAACTAGGGAAATGTAAACACATGAGATGCCTCTATAATGAAAACAGAAATGACTGGGTAAGTTGTTCTCACATGATAAAAATAAAGACAGGAAGGGAGTTGGGAGAGGATATGAGGTGAAACAATCCAATCTAGTCAATGGGATAAGCTTGATCTCGGTACAGAAGAATGTAGGGAGGCATATTTTTGATCACATCATTAGATTCAAATGAAGTTGTGAAAGGTACAACTTCATATATATCACTGGTATGCTATCAAACATTGGCAATATCAAGTAATGACTTTGGTTTTTGTTTTTTAATTTTTTAAGATTTATTTATGCATATATGAATTGGGGTACAGGCCAGAGGTGCAAGGGGTGAGAGGATTCACCAGAGACAGAGTGGGGAACAGAACAAGCAGATTGACTGATATACACTGCTGAGAGGAGGGGACAGGAGAGGTCTGTCACACCATTTGGGTCACCTCCCTGGCCCGGGCTTGAACTTGTCCTGCGGTGGCTGCAGATAGCTTCATAGTGCTGCACTTTAAACACTTGTGCCACCAGGGAGGGCCCTGGCTTTGTTTTTTTTGTTTTCTGTTTTTTAATATTGGCTAGAAAATATGACAGCTAAGAGCCTTTTGAACCCTAAAGTGCTTCATATGTATATAAACATATGCTCAGATGCTTGTCCTTGTATATAAATAATGTGTATACATATAGTATGTTAGCATATTACATGAAAATTTAATGTATTATTTGTATTCAATGAATGTGTTACAGTCAATTCATAGCAGAGTTGTCCAGAACTTACTGTAACTTAAGTCACTGTGGTAGAAATTGACTAGGATATTTTTATCCCTTTAAGAAAGTCACAACTGAACTGTTAAAATTGTTACACAATTATAACATGGTGTACCATGTTATACAATGATATACCTGTATCAATAGGCTCCATAGCTATAAAGGGGATATGGTGGAAAGTAAAGGAGCTGTTAATAGTTGATCTTGAAGGTGAGCTGCAGTTGTATTTAGGGAACGAGTATAGAAGTTTGTTTCTAGGGCATCGCTGGTGGCACAGCTCTATGAAGCTATACACAGCCACTGCAGTGGGAGTTCCATCATAGCTAGGGAGCTAACCCATATGGTATAGCAGATTTCTCCTGGCTTGCCTGCACTATTGCCCTCAGCAGAGTATTTCAGTTGATCTGCTTCCCACTCTGTTTCTGGTTAATCCTCTCATCCCCTTGCACCTCTGGCCTGCACCCAAGTTCTTGTATGCATAAATAAATAAAATAAATCTTTAAGAAAAAAGAATTTCCAGCAGAGGAAAGAGAAAAAATAAAAATGAAAAGTCATTACAGCAGTCCTAGGCTTTGGAAGTAGTGCAGTGAAAATCCAGGCTGCTTCATGGAAATGAGTGGATTTAATGTCTGTAAAGTTAGTGGGGAGCACAACAGTCAGATTGAAATACATTGCTGAGGGGAGTAGTGGGCAGGACAGAAGAGGTCTGCTGTGTCTTGTGGGTCTCCTCCCTGGGTGATGATCAAACTCATGCTGTAGTGACTGCTGACAGCTTCCCTTTGCTGCACTTTAACCTCTTGCACCACCAGGGAGGTGCAATGATTTTATTTTTGTTGAGATAATTGTTGATTTATAAGAATAGGTTCATAGTTCCTCAGATGTTACTTGTTACCACATCAAGTCCATGACCAAAGGATCAACAATCCTCTGCTTTACTCCCCAACTCCTGAACTCTCCCTCTTTTAGTCTCAGTTCTATAGCAAGATTTGTAATTTGTTTTAGTTTTGTCTTTTGTTTTTTTCTTTATATTCCACATATGAGTGAAATCATTTATTTTTCTTATGACTTGATTTACTTAGTATAAAATAAGTTGTTTTTAAAATAGAAAACAAGTATTTTCTTTCATGTGTGTGTGTACTAATATAGATTACTATGTAATCTGTATGGATAAACAGCAATCCCAATCCTACTATTCATTCTATAACAAAAAAGATAGGATATTTCAGGTAGCTAACATGAGGATAGCATTATCTTTATGAAAGTGCTTTGTATTTGAAATGTGCTTAAAATTTCCTTTATATGGAATGCAACAAGTCTGCTATTACAAGCGTAGTGATAGCTAAGTGGAAAAATTGTGGGCATCACTGTCAATGTGTGGATCACGGATCAGCATATTTTATTCATGTTATTTATAAATTTATTTATCTCACTGAATCTTTTCAACTTGAATTTGAATAAACAATATATGTTCTATAGGTTTTTTTTTTCAGGAAGAGTTATGGTAGCATATGTAATATACTAGATGAGTGCTGGATATTTATTAGTTCAGTAAATAGTTTTATTATTGCTTTTATTCTGTTATATAATACAAAGAATACTTAATTATATGACTTGGAACAAATCTTGTAATGTGCATTAGCTTTCTTTAAAGTGCTTTTCTTTTTTTGGTAAATACACTGGCAAATGCAATTTGATATAGTTAGAGTGCTAGATTCTCTATCAAATTATAATGGAAGGAGATTTCTACAAAGAACTTAGACGATGGAATCAGACAACCACTGTTATACTTTGCCTCTCCTTCACTGGTTGAGACTTAAACTCTGTCTTGTTCTCTCATCTTAAAATGGTGATTGAAATTATGAAGTGAAAGAGAATTTCTGCTTTTCTAAGGTTAGTAAATAGACAACATAGTTCATAAATACAGTAGTCATTCAAAAATGTTCATCTTCTCCCATTCTTTCTTGTCCTTTCCTAAAATGATAAAACTTTAGGATTTCTACTGATTGAAAACATGTTTCTGCCTTTTCCAACTAATGGGCTGCATGAAAAAACTAATCTAGAAAGAGGCCATACACTTATGTTGAGCAGCAAATTCAGGATTAGCTATATAATGATAATTTTTTAGTTTTCATTTTGTTTTGCGGCTTGGGATTCTTTGAGCTTGAAATTTCACACTATTACATGACATTGTCACATGTCTTCCAAATTAAAATGCATTCCAAGTAGAATTATTTGTGTTTTGTTCATGTTTTTTGTTG